TAAATGCATTCTTTTTTATTCAAATCATGGCACTGACATGAAATGGACAACAAAAAGTATTCACAGTTGGCCCAGAGCCATATTAATGCTACTGCTCTCTTTCACAACATAGCCTGAAGACAGCTGGGCCATCTGGACACCCCCACAGGGCATCACATTCACCCATTACCTGGATAACATTATGCTGATCAGGAAGGCTAGCCTTATTAAGATGACTGTAATTGTAAAGAGCGGGAGATAAACCTTATGAAGATTCAGGGCCCTGCCACATCACCAAAGTTTTCAAAGGTCCAATGGTCAGGAACATCATCTTCAAAGTAAAATATCAATGGCTGCATCATTCATACCATACTTAGGAGAAGAAAGCACAATGTCTGCTAGGTCTCTATGTAGAGGTAAGGTGTTGACAGTTCATCACAGGATGAATGAAGAAAGGCTATGATTATGTCTTGGAGGATCTTGGATATATATGTATAGATAGATAGATAGATATGTTCTTTTTCGGATTCTTTTCCATTACAGGGTATTACAAGATATGAATACGGTTCCCTCTGCTATGCAGTAGGTCCTTGTTGTTTATCTATTTTATGCATAGTAGTGTGTATCTGTTAATCCAACCTCTTACTTTATCCCTTCCCACCCCCCTCCAAAGTTTCTCTTTGAGGAAGGGAAGATATTCCTTCCCAAGGCTTCTGTCCACATCCAGTTGAATTGTGACTAAGTTCAGGAAAAGGTGAAAACTTCATTTAGCCTCAGTGGTACTCTCAACTCCTCTCTAGTCCCTTACCTCTGGGAGCTGCAAGAAAACATTCTCGAATGGGTGGAACAGGGGAGAGAGGGCATTGGTCACAGCTCCCAAATTTTAATATTCAGGTCTCTGAGCTGAAAGGCATCAGGGTTTCCTCTGACAGCATTGAGTGGCTTTGGAGATTGTGAAACCATGGTTCAAACAGAAGATTCGACATTAGCTGGATGACATCCTTCAATTAATATCTTAGAGGCTCACTTTACTCATTTGTAAAACTTCTTGCCTACCTTGAAAGGCTTATCAATAGACTGAATAGGAGGTGTGGGTTCCTATTTCCTCCTTCCCCTCGTCTCTCATTTCAGAGTTTGGTTTCCTGTAGTATACACACACCCAGGGACTCAAATGCACGGAAATAACACAGACACAACAGGGATTGTCCATGGGCTCAGCAAGGGGCTCCATCTCCAAAGTTGAGTTACCTGGCCTTTATCTGTTGTTACAACACTGGACAATTATCTGACTTGTATAAATGGGATCATCTAAAGGCATAGATATTGAATACGAAAACTTTGGCTTAGACATTTGATATGTTGATATATACATAATCCATAATTATTTCTGATGATCATCTGATACCCATTAAATATTGTTCACTGGGTTAGTCACAGAGGAGAACGGACTGAGTCAGGGGAAAAGGCCACTGGGAAGGACCTAAGATCAAAGTGAGAGGAGATGGGTGAATAACAAATCCCCTGAGGTTTGTAAGGCACAACCCACCGACAGAGCCCGTGCACACCTTCGTCCTCCAGGTCAGGGCCCATTACTTAGTCTTGGGGTGGCCTCTGGTAATGCCCTTGACTTCTCTGGACCTTGGTTGCTTTATCAAAGCTGCTTTGTCAACTCTTAATCAGGAGTTAGACTTGATCAATCATTTTCAAGCATACCTAGCGGCCGAACCTTCGTCTTCCTTCTTATATGTCTACATTTGAACTACACACGTGTAAAAGTGGAGCTGCTTTGGCTGTGGCAGGGGACAGGTCTCGGTGGCACTCTCCTTGACGGCACTTGATAAATTCTCAACTCCAGGGCCATTCCCCAGTTGTAAGAGCTCTGCCCTATTATGCCCTCAGCTGCTATTACCAACACTCACCATGTCAGCCTGGCTCAGGACTAAGCCTTTGACATGCCCTACCTCATCTCAGTTAATCCTCACAACACCCTTGGTCCTAATAAAAATGTGATGATTTGCCTGGTCACGGCTAATATGAGTGTGAGGATTCAGAGCACGAGTCCTCTACCTTCCCAGCCCCCGCCTTCACTCCCAGTGGCCCAGGCCCCTGGCCCTGCCCCAGGACCAGATTAAGGAGCAATGAGGTGAAGTACCTATCCCCAGAGGCATGATCGAATCAAAGATTTCTTCTGGCTAAGCCTTGAGACATTAAGAAAAAGGGAGCTTGCTGATTCTGGGTCCCCACCAAGGTGCAAGCTTTCATATAGAAGCTGGAAGTGTGTGTCAGCAACTCCCTCCCCGCAGTAACCACACGTGGGAAGGTTTGACAGAACACAATTCAAACAGGCACTCATTAGGCAGCAGGCCCACTTCTGCTTAATCACAGGCAGTGAAAGAGCAAAGAAATTGGATCAACCTATCTGTGCCCTAGCAAAAGTCACTACTGGAGGGCTTCCGTCCTTGCAAAGCCTGTTTTCTAATGATGCACCCCTTAGAAGGGTTGGAAGGAAATTTAGCAGTATATAGAGCCCCCAGCACAAATTAAACATCAATGAACAGTTGTTTACTGAATGCCCCCCATGAGCCAGGCATGGGGTCAGGTGCTGCTGGGGATATAGAGGTGATGTATCTGGATGATAAGCATTCTGTGAATTTAGAAGATGGGTGCAGTTGATTAGAAATCCTCCGCTTCAGCCATGTCCTCCCAAATGCCACAAACCCACTTCTTTGCAAGGACTTTGATGAGCACCATCCACAGCTTGGCACTGAGGGACATTTACTTGGGCAAGTCTTAGATTCTTTTCTCTCACAGTTCCCTCAGCTTAGAGGACTGCTGTTTCTCTTCCTTTATTACCCAAAGCCTTTTCTTTCTGGACTGATTCAGCGGCCACCCCTTCCAGGATACCACCTGACCAATTTAGACAGGTGGGGCACTCATCTATGGGCTGCCATGAACCTGTGTTTACCCACCACTGTCTTTGTCTGTTTCCATGTCTGTTTCCCCAACCTGCATTGAAATGACAGAGGAGGCATGTACTGAACGTTTCAGGATTGAATTGACCCTCTCTGGGCTGGAGGTACGTCTCTTAAATGAGGTGTACGGTAGATGGGATTGCTGACAGAGCCCACCTAGCTCTGATACTCCCTGGATCTCTGGCTGAGAGAAGGGATGCTGGGCGGACATTTGTTTCTGGGAGCTGGGTGGTCTCCACCTTGGAGATTTCCAGTCTGGGGAATCATGTGGGATACTGCATTGAGTCCCAGGTAAGCCTTTCTACTCCAGAGCTATTATTACACTCGCCCTGAGAAACTCTGGGCTTTAAAATCTTAGAAAGAGTAACCAGCTTGGGGTTCAATGGACCTGGGGTTCATTCTTCACTCACCTAAAGGTGGTTTCACATCAGGCAAGTTATACAACTTTCTGGGCTGATTTCCTAATCTGTAATAGGAACATAATTCACACCTCTGAAAGTGTGAATTCAGTGAGATATTACATCTAATTTGGCCAGCATATGCCCAAACACGACAGAAAGGTAGTTTTGCTTTGTATAAATAATAATAGTGGTTCCCTCATAAAAAAGTGGCAACCTAAGAGAACAGATGAGTTCCTGGCTGTTGTGAGGTGGTCTCAAACCCCAAATAGCAGAAAATCATCATTTTCCAGACCCCAGGGGTTTAGTTAAATACGCACAAGTTTATTGATTGAAGAGATTAGGACAAAAACATGAAACCAAATACAGGACAAAGCACCAGAGGCCATAGATTCCCACCATGCATGTCACCAATCTTTCCTCCTACAGGGGACTTAAAAAATAAGGGAGAGGGAAGAAAAATAGGTCCTTCTTGACTCAGCCCCATCTTCAGAATGTAAAAAACCCTCTCTCCTTTTTATCTTCCATTACCAAAATAGAATCAAGAGCAAATCCATGGCCTCCTTGTCTCCCAACAATGAACGGATAAGCCGCCCTCCTGGGAACGTGAGGCCGGGATCCTGCTAAGTAGGAATAAAGCATCCAAGGTCTGAACATACATGCCACATACTATAATGAAGCACAGATTCAAGTAACATTTACATACTAGAGTCCACGTGTCACCTACCCAAAAACATGACCATTTCACAAAACGTATACAGGCAGTAAAATCCAAATAACTGAGGTACTGGAAACACAAATATTGATGCCCAAAGAGTTCTGTATCATACAGCAATAGAAAAGCCATAAAAAAAAAATTTTGCCACTCGAAATCAAATAAAGCTATCTAGAAAAGCCAAATAAAAGGTTATTTCAGGGACAGAAATACTCAGAGAAAAAAATATATATAAATGTTAACTACAGCATGTAACATGTTACCCAACTACAGCATGTAACATGTAAGCATGTAACAAGTTAACCCGTAATTGAAGTACTGGCTTAATACATCACAATGTGACATTTTCCTTAATAAATAGAAGAGTTCTTGAAAATACAAAGGTGCGTATGGGGATAGAGAGCTTGTTTTATTTATATCATCCCAGCTTTCAGCTTATTTTCCTTCCCGCTTGTCTCGACTGAGGTTTTTTGTCCTAACCAGAGGGGCTTCCAAGCCAAAAAAGATCATACTCCGTAAAGAAAACTCGATAGCTGCTCTGTATTTTATACGTGGGACAACCTGCTTCGTTTCACTAGTTGCCGATAAAACAAAGACAAAATGTTTAGTTGAGATCAGAGTGTTACAAGAGAGCTTCAGACTCCGAGAGCATCCAGGATCTCACACTAACACTATCATCTCAGGAAAGAGGCATGCCTGTAACGCAGCCCTCATCATTCAGCAAAAAAAAAAAAAAAAAAAGGAGTTGAACTTCTTTTCCTTTCGTCTTCCTTTTTTCTTTCTTTAAACTATGATAGCCGTAATGCATCTGGATGGAAGTTTGACTTCTAATAGCTTCCTGCCATAAACCAATTGACACAAAACAGAATAGTGGGTTAAAGGAGAGATTTTTTTTTCCCACTTCAGGGAGCAAAGTATTAACATGTCGTTTCCTGATCAGGATATTCAATGTTTATTTAGAAGAAATGAGTTGAAGAACGCAATTAAAAGACACAAAATGGATTTTTATTTTCTTTTAGTTTTAGCACCCAGGTTTCATGTCAGTCTGTGTGCACCGAATTTTTTTTAAACGAACCCCGTGAATTATCAGATAGGTGGTTGGCTTGTTTAAAAATGAAAAAAAAAAAAAAAAACCCTTGGCCAATGGTACCTTCCCTGAATCATGACAAGACGTTAAATGCTAACAGTGCGATGCCAAGATGTATGTTTGAGGCAGAGAGTTCTGATTCTATCAGGATCTGCAATTATTTTGGAACAAAATGGAAAGTGGGGTAGGCGGAAGCAGCCTAACTGACAGGGGTAGTCTCCGGGGGGGCTCCATTAGGCAAGAGAAGCCCCTGGGGGCTCCCGCCCATCCGACAGGACCCCAGAGGCTGCCCCCATCCCGCATCTCTGGTCCCCATGCTACATGTTCAGTCAGCTCCTTGACGGTTTTCCTTCTTTGAACCAAGAAGCCTGTGAGTGTCAGCGTCTTTCTTGCTACCAAACCAGGCGATACGTGTTCCCTGGAAGAAGTCCTCTCCACTGCCCTCTCTTGCTCCTGGTACCTGCTAAGTCACTGTGGGGCGTGAGCTCAGTTAAAGAAAGGGTCCAAGTTCTCTTCCATGTTGACATCCGGCACCAGCTGATCAGACACTTCCTTAGCACCATATCCTGAATTCGAGACGCTAAAATCTGTAGAAAACCAAGGATGGTCCAGAATTTCCTGCGAGGTCAGCCGCTCTGAGGGCTCCCGCCGCAGGATGCTTCGGATGAGGCACTTGGCCTTGGGCGACAGAGTCTCTGGAATGTTGAACTGGCCACGCCGGATCTTGCTGAAGAGGGAGCTGGGCTCAATGTCATGGAAAGGGTACCGCCCAACCAACATGGTGTAGAGCATCACTCCCAGGCTCCAAACATCAGCTGCCCTGCCCGAGTAGCTGCCACTGGTGTTCAGGATCTCTGGACTGACGTACGCTGGGCAGCCGTGCTTGTCGGAGAGGGAGTCATCATCTCCCCGCAGAATGTAGGCATCTTCCAGGCTTTCCAGCTTGACCCGAGTCCTGCAAGAGAGGAGGGAAAACATGAGCTCATAAGGGTGCTCTGAGACCCACGAATCCCATCATTACAGCTCATGTTTCCGATGACCATTCATTCATTGGCCCAGCCAAACGTTACCTAATGAGCACCTTCTACGTGCCAGACCCTACTCCAGGGCTGGGGACCCAGGAGGCAAAGACTCTGCGTGAAACTTATGATCTACTGGGGGACTGCAACCTTCAGCAAGTAAACAAACCACGAACAGCACTATTATCGCCCCATCTTAGTGACGAGGAAGAAAAAGATTAAGTCATACTCTCAAAGTCACACCTGGGTCATGATGGGGAGACACAAGATTTGAACTCAGATCCAACCAGCTGGGAAGCTCACAGAAGCTCTGTCCACAGCTTCTGGCAAACTTATGGCGAACACGATGCAACATAGGAGCAGGACTTTTCACTCAACGGCATTTTGGCTTCGCAATAGCCCTTTACTCGGACGTAAAGGATTTTATTACCCCATTTTACAGAAAAGAACATGGAAGCTCAGAGAGTTTGAGTAACTTGCCCAGAGCCTTCTAGTTGGGAAATAGAGAAAACTTGACCTCACATATTCCTAAGTCAACCTGAATGCTCCTTCCACTGCACCGAGCTGCCTCTCTTAGGACACAGGCAGAGCCAGGGAACATTCAGTCAGGAGTGCATCCCATTACCTAGTCCTTCCAAAGCCAGCATCCTCATCTTCTTTCCAAGATTTCCTGTTGAAGTTGCCTCCTGTCCTGCCCATCACACTCCTAGGGTCTGGTCCTTGACCTGGTACATATGTGACTCAGGTTAGATAGTCCACTTGCACCAGCACATATGTGATTCTGTCTCACATGGGTACATGGGTGTGTGTGTGAATCTTTCCCCCACCAGTTAAGGACCACTGAGCTCGCTGATGGATGCAGGACTCTCCTGGGTACGATGGGGAAGAACGGAGGTGGAGAAATCCTGCATTAAACTCTGAGTCCCTGGAACCGACCTCTCACCTTTATGCAGAAGGACTTGATATCATCACCGAGTACAAAATAAGTATGTGTTCAGTGCCCCCAAGCTCCTAGCCTAGCATCCCTTCCTTAGCCCAGGGGCCTCCCAAGAATTCCTGTGTCCCTGCCCTGCTGTTCTCTGAGTGGAAAGTTAGGCATTATTAACCTTTCAGTGCTTAAAACTGACACCCTCCTCTCACTCTCCTGGCCAGAACACCTCCACTGCCAAGTCCCTGTAAACTCAATTAATCCCATTCCCTCACACTGATGATGGTCTGCCACGAAGGGGACATGGGACGGGGAAGAGGGGCTAGAGTTAGGGGGTTGGGACCGCATGGATAGTGCCAACGAGGTCCTACAAGGTCAGTATCATTCCTATCAGTTGGTTCCTTCATCTCAAAAGGGCCCATCAAAGCATCTACCCTGCTGCCCTGAGGTGTCAGGAGGCTCAGATGAGCCGAGAGTAGGAAACTGCTCGGAGAAACCACAATAAGGCCTTATTCCTAAATCAGAGCCCGTGACTCAGGTCCATCCACTGTTACTTCTCTTTCTTTCTCCAACTGCAGGTCTTAGCCTTTCCAGGCAGTCACCACAGCTCCCCTAAGAGCCACTGAAGGGAGGCGAGGCTCAAGTTATTCCAAGGAGAACTGCTCGGAGCTCTCTAGAGCAAAAGGTCTGATGAAACCCTGGGCTGATTCTAAGATCCTATGTTTGGATTACAGGAGTTTCCAAGACCAAAGGGTGACTACTTCCTGGTCCTAATTTCCATCAATGAGCAAGAAACAGTTGTGGTCACTGGAAAAGGTGCTGGGCTAGGAGGTAGGAGAGCAGATTCCAGGCCATACTACGTCTCTTATCTGCTGTGTGGCTGTGGGTGAGTCATTAAACCTCTGTGTTCTCAGCCTTAAAGCAGAGTACTGAACAAGGCAGTCTTCTTTTTTTTTTTTAATTTTATTTTTTTATTGTGGTACAATATACATAAGATACAATTTACCATTTTAACCATTTTTAAGTGTACAGTTCAGTGGCATTAAGTACATGCACACAGTCGTGCATCCATCTGGACAAGACAGTCTTAAAGTCTCTGCCAGTTTTAACATTCTGGGCTTCTGTCATATATAGCAACACAACTTCTTTATCTGCTCACCCATATTCTATTATAATCTGGAGTGCACATGCCCTTCTCCTCCCCCTTTAGTGATGATCTGTAAAAATAGGAAGGGTCTAGATGTGCTAATCTGGAATTGAGTGGATTAGAAACAAATCTCTTCTTCCTTTTCCTTTTTCTAATCTAAGGTGGCAGGTGGAGCTGACTCACACCAGCCTCACCAGATGTTCAGAAATTGGAGGTGAGTCAGTGAAACCCACAGGGCAGAGGGGAAGGGCCGCAAACCACAGGCCGCAGTGGGTTCTCTCTGCAGCTTCCCCGTCCCCCCCTCACCAGCAGCAGCTCCTGCCCAGCTTTGGGACCAGCCAGGCTCCCTCACCTCCAGGTTCACCGTGTTGGCAGCAGAGCAGCTATGGGAAGAATTATTGCAGGGCAAATAACAATAATAAGCCGTCGCATCTGTGTGACGAGGGGCTATCGTCCGGTGGAATGAGACTTGGAACCAGAAGATTCGTGTTTGGAGCCAGGTGTGTCCGCCGAAACCCTCCGCCGCTGTCTCAGCTCGTCCAAGCGGGGACGACCATCTTCACCCACACGCCTCCTCCCCCCCCCCCCCCCCCCCCCCCCCCCCTTCCAGACCCTGCACCGGTCCTCACATACGCCGACCAAGCCCAGTCCTTCCTGGGGCCTCTGCACACGGTCCTCCCCACCCCACCCAGGCCCCTGCCCGGAATGCTCTTCTTCCAGATACATGCACCGCTCAGTGTTTTCAGGTCTCTGGTCAAATAAATGCACTTGATTAAAGAGACCTTGCCTGACCCTTCTATACAAAGTAGCGCCCCATCCCAGAATCCCGCATCCCCTCATCACCGCCGGGAATACTACGCACTTACACGTCCACGGTTCTGCATTGATACTCTGTATTATGATGCCAGTGGTCGCTTCAGGGTCCTCACCTCATTCCCCACCTCCAGGGGCTCCCGGGCAGGTGGCTAAGGTCACTTTGAACGTGGAGAAAACCACCTGTGTTCCCTGCGGTATCTCCGGCCCCTAGACTAGTAGCCGGCACACAGTAGACACTCAATCCCTCGATCAAAGAGTAAAAGGGACAGTCACGCTGCTGAGCCCCGGGAGCGCCCGGGCGCTCACCTTGAAAGGAACAACGGCCCCTGCTCCGGGTAAAGGAGTTACACCTTCCCAGGACTAAGTGGAGGCCAGGTGAAGGCTCTACGGGGGGCGGGCTTTGTAAATTACAACACCTCAGGTGCCTGGCAGGGTGAGGGCAGGAGGGAGATGTGGCGTCCAGGACCTTTCAGGGGACGGGCTTCCCCACCTCAAGCTCTTCGCTATAAGCCGATTTCTAAAGCCCTTTCTACATTCTTATCTCCTTCCGGGTCACACCCCTAGATTCCGACTTTCTCCTTCACCCCGTTAACCCCACCCCCTCCCTCCCATGGGCAGCAGGGACCCCACTTTCATCCTCACCAATCTTCCGGAATCCCCCTCCAGATCATGGACAAGGGCCTTCGAAAACGGTTAAGGTCTCCCTCTTGTCAATTAACCCCCTCCCCGAGTTCACCTCTCTTCCTCCCCAAACTCAAGACGAGTACTCAGGAGCTATGCAAATACCTAAGGAATCTGAGGGCGGTAAAAAAATTAATCAAAAAGCACTCCATGCGCCGCTGACCTCCGCTGCCCCTAAGCTGATCCGTCGGCCCCTGCCTCCTCCTCCCTTCAGAGGCCGAGCCTCCGGCTGGGAGCATCCGGATCTGTGGTCACAGGGCGTTCGGTGCGGCCGGTAGCGACACAGCCACACAGAAGCCAGGCCAGTTCCAAGTCTTGAGGTCAGAGGCCCGGGTTCAAATGCTGCCTCTGACAATTAGTAAGTGCCAGATATCAAACACCGTCTCTGCATTTAAGCATGAGTAGGTATCTACATATATTTTCTTTTTTAAGATGTATAAAATCAACTTTCAAGGCAAGAATTATTATTCCTTTACTGGGACACCGAGTCTAATAGAGAGGATAGGTCAGCTCATTTGTGGGGAAGACTAATTAGCGGCTGAGCGCTCGCCTTTCTCCCGGCGGGGAGCTGATGTCAGACCCGCGCCGCCGCAGCTCCGGGCGGAGGAACGCAACCCAGGCTGGCGGGGATGCGAAGCCGCCCCCTCACGAGGCGCAGCACGCATGCGCCCCAGGGTCAGGGAGCCGGCTTCTTCTGCGCAGGCGTGCAGGCGTCCCCCCCGGGGTGGGCTGAGAGAAGCCTAGAAAAGGACGGGGAGGAAATGCGGCGCCCCAGGCATTCTTCTGACCTTGCCTCTCTGGGAACATCCTGAACTTGTTTACATCACTCCCAGGCAAGGGTCGAGGCAAGAAGCCTGGATTACGTCTTTAAATAAGGACGTTCCGGGGTGCCCATAGGTCGCGGGCCCGAGCCCGGCTGGAGTTCCAGTTCCGGTCCCCACAGACGTGCCACACAACTGCAGGGCCCTTCAGAAGGTCTCTGGGGCTCAGCTTACCCCCGGGGATGGCGGGGGGGGGGTCGCCCTCTCCTCTCAGGAGTGTTGCAGGGAGTGCCCGGCGGAGCGCCTGCGCCCGCCGGAGTGGGAGGAAATGAATGAACAGTCTTCCAGCTTCTGAGGGCTCCTGATCAGTCTGGGAATTAGGAATTTCCAGGCAGAGAAATCGATTTTCATAAAAATCAACGGGAGCATCAGATGGCCCTAGTCATTCAAATAAACTAGTCACGGGAGACACAGACAGGACAAGTCACGCCCATCATCTCGGTTTTTGTGAAGATTAAATGAAACAATGCAAGTACAGCATCTATCAAGGAGCATAGCATAGTAAGTCGGCAAAAAGTGGTGGAAACTAACTAACCTTCTTAT